ACATGTATACACTGATGTGTATAAAATGGATGAGTAATAAGAACCTGCTGTATAAAAAAATAATTAAAATAAAATTCAAGAAAATAATAATTTAAAAAAAGGCTCAATAAGTCTTATGTTTCTCCCCAACTGTCGTACTACTTACACTCTTTATGACTCATTACAATTACCTATTTATGTGTCTCGCCCACCTCTCTCCCAGTAAGTTTTGGAAAGATAAAGGGATTATGCCCTATGTTATCTTTGTATCTTCCACAGCATCAAGTTCTGTGACTTGTGAACAGTAGTTAAGTAATGTGTGCTGTTAAACTGAACTAACAAAGAATAAATCAAGAAGCCTGTTTTTGCTACATGTTCCTCTTCCAGTTTTGAAGTTCTTAACTGAAAATATAACTGGATCAAAATATTAAATACAAATGCATAAAGAAAGCTAATTTAATCTATTCTTGAAATTTGAGATTGTTATATGGGTTTTGAACCCATTTTATTACTCTTACCTGTTACTTCGTCACTGTGAGTAGACAGCAGTTTCCAGATGAGGTAAGGACCACCAAGGATAACAGCAAAGAACAAGAATATTGGCCAAGATTTTGCTGAGTTAGTTGCTCTGTCCTCAGCACCAAGGCAAGCCACAGTTCCTTCACTTTCTGCCCACAGGTCCTCATTCTCAGAGTCTCTTCTTAAACCTATCATCCACTGCAACCGTCTGTAAAGATACCTTATAGTCCTAACTAATGCAAAAGCTGAAAAAACCTTTGTGAAGTGTATTTTTAATCGGGAAAAGTGGTTTGCTACATCCAATACAGCCCTGAAACTGTTATAGACAGCTGAAAAGGTAGCATCCATCATCATACTGACAGAGGCAAATGCATGCACAATACTTTCAATGGACTGAAATGCACCTCTGCTGCTTTCTTCAGCTTGCTGAACAAATCTACTAGGTGGAAGATCATCTATACGAAGGCGGTTATAGCCCAACCCATTATACCCATAACTATAAGGGCTATAGCTTCCATAAAATGAATTTCCATAGGCACCATATCCAGAAGAAAATGAACTGTAAGCAGGTCTGAAAGTGTTCACATTACTGCTTCCTGTCTGCTGGGATGGCCTTGGAAGAACAGGCGGTGGCACTCTGGTAAGTGTTGGTTGTCCAGGTCTTGTCAATAAAGTAGGACCCAAATCAGCAGATCTAAAAGCAAAAAGGATTCAAAGTTGTAACTTAAGCACACAATAAATTCATTCAAAGTAACTATTAAACACTTTGTATATACCTAGTGTTATGACAGATCCTACTAAAGTTGTCTTAAAGTAAGGAATAGTCTCTAATATCCAGATGCTTAGAATCTGTGTTAAGACAAAATAGGTAAGATAAAATAGCTGACTGAACTCTATATTCTTGTTTACTTATGCTGCATTATTAGTAGTCTCTTCAAACTTTGGTTTCTTTTTAAGACACATGTCCATTTCCTCAGGGTTAGTTACAACTTGATATCTGTCCATCCTTACACCTAAATGGCACTATCTTAATTACTATAGTTTTATAATAGGTCTTAATATCCAATAAGACAAATCTTCCTACGCTATTCTTCATCTTCAAGAGTGTCTTGGCTATTTGACCCTTTGAATATCCATATATATTTTAGAATCAGAGTTTGAAGTTCTACACTGTTCTCCCCACAAAAGCCCTATTGAGATTCTGGTTTGGGATTACATTAAATTCGTAGATTAATTTGAGGTACTCAACATCTCCATTATATCGAGAGTTTCAACTCAATATAACATATCCTCCATTTACTTATGTCTTTTGAAGATTTTTCTTAATAATGTTTTTTTAAAATAACCACTGAGGGACTTCCCTGGTGGTGAAGTGGTTAAGAATCCACCTGCCAATGCAGGGGACAGGGGTTCGTGCCCTGGTTCAGGAAGATCCCACATGCCACAGAGCAACTAAGCCTGTGAGCCACAACTACTGAGCCTGTGCTCTAGAGGCCACAAGCCACAACTACTGAGCCCATGTACCACAACTACTGAAGCCCACATACCTAGAGCTTATGCTCTGTAATGAGAAGTCACATCACTGAGAAGCCTGCGTGCACACTGCAACAAAGAATAGCCCCTGCTTGCGCAACTAGAGAAAGCCTATGCGCAGCAATCAAGACCTAACACAGCCAAAAATAAATTAATTAAAAAAATAAAATAACCACTGAGTCTCAATGTTTTATAGTTTACTGTGTGGAGGTCTTTCTTTAGATTTATTTCTATATATTTGATTTTTTTGATGCTATTGTAAACAGTGTCTTTCTAATATTTCACTTTTTTGCTGTTATATAGAAATAATTGATTAAAAAAATATGGTCCTTATATTTAACAACCTTATTTTGGATTCTTCTTTTGTACTTTCTAGAATCTTAAGGATCTGCAGTCATATTGTATGTGAATAACAATAGGTTATTTCTTCCTTTTTTCAATTCTTACAGCTTTGATTATTAAGGTATTGCATCTAGGGGCCTTCCCTGGTGGCGCAGTGGTTGAGAGTCCGCCTGCCGATGCGGGGGACACGGGTTCGTG